CTGGTTCTTCTGGCGTTGAGTCTTCTCAGGGCCAGGTTTGATCCGTCAGCTGGACCCTTCTCTCCTGATTCTGATGGCAGCGGAGAAGTTGCCGTTTCCAAAGCACTTGTCAGTCGGGGCAACAGAATGCCTTGCCCCCCTCCCCCAGTGGGCCCTTGCCCATTGCAGCCTTCAGACCCAGACACTGGGAGGACCGGGGGGGGGGGTTCGGGGACGCAACCGTTAACTAATAACGCTCAGGGAGCAAAGAAATAGCAACTTGTGGTGGTTTTTTTTTTTTACTCCAATGAAAATTAAGTAATAGATAATAATGTTTAAATGCAGGTTGTTTTTTAAGTTGACTAATGAACATGGTTTTTTAATGGGATGGTGGACAGTGGGATTTCTGTGGCTTTTGGCAATCCGTGTTTCAGCCTGTTGGCCTGAGTGAAAGTTGTATGTGGGGAAGGGAGCAGGGAGGGAGACCCGTTTCTGGCATTTTTGTACTAAAGGAGAAAATAAAAATAAAATTAAACACAGGAAATTACGTATTTGTGTAGCAGAAAATCTTGCCTTGTAATGTAGCATATGAAAAAGAATTTTTATACCACATTTTATGGATTATTTTTTAATTGTTGATTTTGATCTGGTTTTTAAAAAGGTAACTGTAGCTTGATGGTGAAAAAACTACCTGTTTCTATTAAAGGCCCTGCTGATACACAAAGGCAGATGGAGTGGAAGGTTCTTTGTCTGGGGGGGCCAAATCCTTTTTCTTCCCCTGAAAAGAACCGGCAGGCCGAAGGGGCTGAAGCTAGATTGCGTGTGGCTGGGTTGGATCGTGGAGATGCCCTCTGCATTTTTCTGCATGTGATCAAGATAAACAGGAGCATTCATGTATGTACTTACGGGTTAGCTCCCCCCAATGGAGAGCAGAATTGTTACAAATCATGATTCTGCTTTGTTCTGGTCTACATTTTTACGCTAATTAAACTTTGCAAATGAGCAGGTTTCCAATATCTTGAGGTGTGAAAAGTAATCACTTTTCAACCCAGCGATAGCTTCCCCAGTGACCTGCTTTCTAGCAGAAATTCATTCTTAGCATCCCACTTCAAGAATATCCATACCCCAAACGTTCCCTGTTTTCCCATCGTTTGTAGACTGTATCCCCTTATTATTCAAACTGTCCTGTTTCCCACCTTTATCATGATCAGCCTTTTTCAACAGACACTGGCAGACCTTTATGTCTCACTGTGAGTGGTCTCTGGAGAAAACGATACAGCATACCTCAGTCTGATACACTGTGATCCAGGCATTGTTTACTTCAGTTTTCTTTTGAAAATGTCAGTGCCATCATTTCCCCTTTACTGCACACTGTTCTCAGCAAAAGCAATGCACTGTCAATAAAAAACCTCCATCCAGAAGCGGAAGCATCCGTGAAAATGCAGCCCTCCAGGAGAGCATCTGCTGAGCCACTGCAGGGCTTCCTTTCTCTATCCAGAGGACATCAAGAAGAGGCTCTCCTGACTGTGGTATCCTTGAGTGCAAATAGCTGATCCACCTTCGGTTGCCTGCAACTTCTGAACAACCTTCAAAGACAGCAGAACCTGTAGGCTACTCAGAAACGATCACATTTGAGAAGCCTAAATAAATAGAAAGCAAAGAAGTCTGAAGAAACTGATTTTCACATTGATTCCAATTTGAGATGTTAAGTAATTAACTAGCAGCTAAAGATTTACAGTATTTGAAAAAAAAAATAATAAATATATAGACAGCCTTTCAGCTTGTAAACTCCCAAGTAGTTTATTGTGGTGTATGAAAATAAAAGTTATAAAACATGGCTGCACAATCAATATAATTAATGTCAAAATTAACACCAATGCAATTACAGTTAAAAGCTTGGTGAAAGAGCTTGTTTTGCAGTCTCCGTCCTGAATAGTCAAAAAGAGCTTCCAAACATACTTCTTTGAGGAATGATTCCACAGTCTGGGAGCCACACAGGAGAGGATCTTCTTCTCATTGGCGGGAGAAGAGCTTCTGGCAATGGGGTCAAGAGGCAGAAGGGCCTCTTCTGCTGATCTAAGTAAAGGGAGAGGTTCATGGGAAGCCCTGGGGCCATACAGCATCTTAAATCATGCTTGGTTAGCAGCCAGGCAACCTCTGCCAATCTCTCAGGATAGGTGCTATATGATCCCTGCTTCTTGCACCAATCTGGTCACTGCCTTTTGCACCAAATGCAATTTTGACCACTTTACAAAGGAAGCCTGGTTGTTGAGATTGTTTTGGACAGATGTCAGCCTGGGGACACAACAGAGGTCTGTGGAGCTGCACCAATCAATGAAATTGCCCATTTAACTCTCTCCTTAGACCCAAAGGAGGGCCAAGCCAAAACTTAGGCTGCCACTAAAGTGGACAATGGTATGCCAAGCAGCCTTTGAAAAACTAAAGTGCCTTTTCATAGCCAAACCAGTGCTCTGACACCCTGATTCCAACTCAGCCATTTGTGGCCCAGGCTGATGCTAGTGATGTAGCAGTAGGGGCAGTAAAGGAAAAAGTCCCCCCGCACATATGTGCTAGTCGTTCCTGACTCTAGGAGGAGGTGCTCATTTTTTTACTTGCATTTTTACATGCTTTTGAACTGCTAGATTGGCAGAAGCTGGGACAAGTAAAGGAAGCTGTTATGCGGCACTAGGGATTCAAATTGCTGACCCTTCTGATTGACAAGCTCAGCGTTTTAGCCACTGAGCCACCTTTCAGTAGGGGCAGTACTAATCCAGAAAAACCAACAGGGCAATCTGCAACCATAAGCCTACTCCTCTCATAAGCTTTATGAAGTAGAGGGGAGGTGGGCAGTGAGGGAGGAGGCATACATCGTGAGATGGACACTCCTCACATGGAGGCAATTCCGAGAGGGCAGTAGAATACACTTCAAGGTCTAGATGGATCTTAAAAACCTAGAAGCATTGAAAATCCCATGAAAACTTTCCCCCAAACAAGTTAGATGGATACAGTACTTCAGAGGTGGATTTCAAAATTTTTTACTACCGGTTCTGTGGATGCGATCTATTTTGTGGGCATGGCTCAGCAATCATGTGACTGGATGAGCGTGGGCAACTTGTAAAATGTGGTGAAACTCACCAACACTCTTGCTTACCAACCAAAATTTTGGGTCCTCGCCCTCTTCCTCCAACAGCGCCAGGGGGTCTGGGTGATTAACGGGGGAGGGATCCCCCTCCTCCAGAAGCCCAGCAGATCTGCCCTGGTGCTGAGCCTTTGGGGCTGCTTCCCCCGAGGCCTTGCTTTTGCCTGCCATCCTGCTCCTTCCTTTGGCCTTATTCCTGGTGTTGGCCAGAGCTACCGTGTCCTGAAGGCCTGATGCCATGGTGGGCATTCGAGCCCCAGCGTCTGGCTAGCTGATGCAGGCTTTGTTGGATTAGCCAGTTGGAGCCCTCTCACAGAAGCCAATAGGGAGGGAGGGAGGTTGCTTGCATTGGGAAACACCACTCAAGCAAGCCGAGAGAAAACGCTCTTTGCGACTCATTAGCGCCGCTGCGGAAGGCAGAGGCTGCACGGCAATATCTGGATAGATGGATATCTTATAGAGACGCTGCATCAGTTTTGGTGTCCTGGCATGAAAAAGGACATAGGAAAATATGTGGCAAGCTGTCCTGTGTGTGCCAAGGCTAAAAGATGGCCTGGCAACCCCTCTGGCCTATTACAACCATTAGCTGATCCTGTAGCCCCACGAAAGGAAATACCCATGGGCTTCATTGTAGAGTTGCCTGAGAGCTCCAGCAATATGGTGATCTGAATGGTGACTGACCTTTTCTCTAAGCAAACCTATTTTAGAGCATGAGGGAAAATTGGTTCACAAAGGAATTGAACGACGGCAGCAGAAAAGTTACAATTCCTTTCAATGGTGTGGCTTGTGGATGCTACCTCAATGTTTAAAGCATTTTCATTGCATAAACGTGTGAATATTTTGGCCTTCAGAATGTGCTTACACAGAATGAGTGTGAAAGGAAAAGGAACTGTTCCATGCTCCGAATAAATGAGGTCCTTCCTCTTAATATGGCCAGGGCAGATCAGAAAGGGCACTGAAGGTAGGAAGCTATGAATGAATTTTTTATTTGCAAATTCAGTTGAAAAAGTCACATCAGCTCTGGATCTGTCACTACAAAGTTGTCTAATCATTGTGAATACACTGACATTCTGTATAGCAAAGAACCTTTCCCATTAGTTCAATTATATGGCAGAAAACCATGCTGTCTCATGTATACAACTTTCCTGGGGAAAGCACCAGTTTTAAAAGAAACCCAAAAGACAGCTCTTTCTAAATGCAACATTCAAAATGCTACCCAGAGATACTAAAGTGCATGATGACAAATAAATAGCAACAGTCCCCTAAAAGTAGGCATGGAAACAAGTGTTGAAGTATGAGAAGAAAAATGGAGTAAAAACTTTGCAAGGAGACAGAGAAATGCATAAAATAATAAAATGAGGTCATCATCTTCCTCAAAGTCATGATGTAGATGAGGATCGAGAGGCATTTTTTATTTAATTTCCCTTTTGTCACTTTCTAGCATAGCCAGCTATGTAGCCTGAAACTTTAGTTGAAAGAGGAACCCCAGCAGAAATCTCCAAGCTTCAGGGTTTCCTGCGTCTGCAAAGAAAGGACAAGACTGTAATCCCCAATCATGCTCAAAAAGGCTGCAGTTCTATACAAACAAACAGATAGCTTAACATTGGGCTGAAACTGTCAGCATTCCTCCAGCACATCGAATAACCCCACCCAAATACCAAACCCTCCCTCCCCGTTTCATGACAGCTGAAGCAGTAGCAAGGCAGAAGCTGACAGCCGGCCGTCCCCCGGAAAAAGGCTGTCAGGCCTAGAAAAAAAAACAAACGAACAGACAAACAACAAAACAGAAAAAGAAGAAGGGAGGGGGTGAGAGAAAGTTAAGGCTTGTCAGGGTATGCAGCATAAAACTTCCAAAGCAGTCTGGGAGCACGAACATGGGATTTATCAACCCATTCCGTGTGGGAGAGAGGAAAATGCTTCCAAGCCACCAGGTATTGGATGCGATTACGGCGTTTGCGGGAATCAAGAATTTCACGAACTTCAAAGTGACGTTCCCCATCGACGAGCAAAGGAGCAGGCGGAGGGTCATCAGGGGGGCGCAAGTGGGAAACACGAACAGGCTTTATGAGGTTAATGTGGAACACTGGGTGGACTCGGTTGAGGTGTTTGGGCAATTGTAAACGAACAGAGACAGGATTGATGACTTTCACTATGGGGAACGGCCCCACATATTTGGGCCCTAACTTCTTTGACCTCTGCGTGGTGTGCAGGAACTTCGTTG